TCATATTGTGAGAATCCATACAAACATAGTCAAAACCACAGACAATGTGTGGATTTTGCCAAAATGCACAAATCCACTTTCGTTCTACCTGAAACAGAGCAGTGATGAAATACTATTAATTTCCTGAGTGAAAAAATTATTAATCAGGAATAGAATGGGGGTTTCATTCAGATCTAGCTCTATACAATGCAGCTAAGGGTCCTAAACTGAGGATACTTCTTAAAGACAAGGGAATAAATATGTTGAAAAGGCCTTTCATAAATGGCACACAACTGCCTGTGTTTTCCATATTTCTATTAGTGGTACGTATGTGCTGTGGTCTGAGTGCAGAGCTCAGTCTAATGTCTTTGGAGTGCACTGATGCTGCTGTACATGGGCAGGCTGAGCTAGGCAAAATGTTCAAGTCCAGGATGTATCAGATCCACTGTGGAAATACTATGGAATTGATGTGCTCATTTGTAGTAAACCAGGTATATCCAGAAGGTATCAATAGATGTGCACTGGTCACACCTGGGAGTAGTTAGAACCCTGGAAACATCCCAGATCCTTGAAATTCTTCTTGATTAAAAATTTCAGGGGTGCTTAGTAGTCTGTACCTATAACAAAATCAATTAGCTGAAGAAAACTTACAAAATCACAAAGAATTAAATTGACTCTCCAGGGAAGATAATGGTATTTATTGCTGCAACAAGGAGCTTGCGAGGACTTCTGTAGACCTTGGTTTCAAGTAGCATAATTCCCAAAGAAGTGTGGGCCATATGATAAGCCATAAACTTTACAACAGAGGGATAGCTTTCCTGGTTGCAGACATCTTTTACTTACGCATTAATGTATCTCGATCCATGATGTCTTTGTGGGAATTGTCAGCACTTTGAATCTACCCAATAAGCTGCATGCTCCAACTGTCCCCATTCATTCTGAAGGATTGGAGTCAATAGGCATGTTGGAGCACATGAAAAAGAAGTTGACTACCTCATCTACCTAAAAGCTCTTTGCCTGTCTTCCTCTTCCCTGGTGTACTGCATGCTGACCACCTGTTCATCTTTCAAATATGTTACAGCTAGCTTCATTATGGTTAAGGCTTTTTCCTGGCTTGGTGAAACATTAATGCTATGTCCTTCACAACAAGGTCTGCCTGCTGAGCTATAAATGCAATGAATCCATCTAACCTTTGAATTCTTCCTTATTTACTTAAGAATTGTACATTGTAGAGTGTGAATGTGACAAATTCTGCTATATCCATGCTGCAGACAAAGTTATTAGGAATTTGATTCCTTCTGCTTTCTCTGAGCTTGAGCTGTTTTGCCCCTGTAGGAAAGCTCTGAATGACATAATTCTGACAGTACCCGCTCAGGTTTTGAGTTTTCCTGAGTAAGTTTTAGTTATGCATCTGGCTAAAATCAAGTACTTACAAATGAGAGCAACTTGCTTGAACATCTAATGAAAACATTGTGTTCCACTTTTGTGCCGAGCTATAGTGAACCAGTTGTTATTCTTTCTCAAGGTCAAATTAGCATCTATACACTATTCATTTTCTGCTGTTGAGTGGTGTGTGAATCTCTGGTTTGGGGCAAATGGGCAGCTGAGTAGTTGGAAAAAAATGAAGTTAAAGAGTTTACCTTACCATGAAAAGAGCTGGCCAACAGTTAGAAGTAAATGAATTTAATTTAAAAATTCTTCCAGCTTTTCGCAGGACCACTATAGTTTCTTGAAAAATGCTGAACAGTAATTGTCAAACAGAGGTGGGCTCAATGGTGGAAAGATGAAGTAGCGAGTACTTCTGTGTAAAGTTGGCTGCAAGGTATTTTAACAAATAGAATATAGTCAACCAACCTAGATTAGTGGGCTGAGAAGTCTGCTACTGAATTCTGTACAGATCCATGCGGATCGGTTGCCATCCATCTGGAGATCGCTCAAGGCTAGATTGTCTACCATGATACTGGAGTCTGACAGCTCAGCAGTGAAACAGCAAGGATTTTGTATGTAGCACTTGCCTTCCTTTCTAGTGGGAATAAGTATGATAAATCCAATCTAATCAATCATTTGTGCTGGACTTTAGATAGCAAACTGTAAAAGTTACATCAATGTCTTCAAGAATGCAAATAACACTTGCTAAAAGTTCAGCTTAATGAAACATGGTATCTTCTGCCAGAGTTTTATGTCTGTTATGGCCACTTGGATTTTATAGCAGGATATGATGACAGTCGCCTATTTATCTGTAAATGGCTCATTTAAATGACTGATTTTATGGCTGTTCATCATACCTACCTCTTCCTAAGAGACATAATATATTTTACCAGATGGTTTTATTCTTCTCTTTTTTTTGGGGGGGGGGAGGAGGGTGGTGGGTAGAGGTGGTGGTGTGTGTGATAGAGGAGCATCTAAGAGCTCTTGAACTCACAATTCTGAGTATCCAGCTTTTCTTAAGAAAAGACTGAGGAGGAACAATGTTCGTTAAAGGTACAACTCATTCCTTTGAAATCTGCCTTTTTTCCATTTTGTTTATCACAGATAATTATTGTTTCTTAATAAACCAGCTCCTACACTAATCTCACTGTCCCCTGAAATCGGTGGCCCCACCTCTGCAGATTGCCTTAAAATTTGATTGCCCTAAAGAGAATCAGAGGTCAACGTAATCAGCTAGGCTTTGAAGAGATGCAGTACCTTGCAGGATGAAGCTGACAATCTCTTGCTTTTTATTTGGATCCTGGGGCAAGACTGCAGTGCAACTTAGTTGGATTGAAGTTTTCTTCCTTATCTCTGTGGGACCCAGAAAACTCATCATGAGACCTTAATGTTAATGTACCATTACTCATTTCGTTATCAATCAGCAGATTTATTAGAAGTCAGTGAGATACTTGATGGCGAGCAGACAAAAGGGCTGAGTCCAGAGTGAATGCTATGGTGACTTGAGCTTGGGGTTTTGGAATGAAGCTTGGCCAGCACAGTACTTGCCATCAGCACTTTTTCTTCAGAGCTTTGCTATTCCTTTGGCACAAGTCCCTTGACCAAAGGTTATTGTAGGCAAATTATGTCACTGTAACAAACGACCCTGGGGCTACTGTGTAATGTGAGTGAAGGTAATGAATGACCTGGGAAGTAATGAATAGCTCTTGAAGACTGGCTGATAGACCCCTGCATGAAGAATAATGAATACTGAATAAGGAAGCTTTTACATCATTGGAGAGTAATGTAAAAAAGTATACCCTCTTCACCACTGAGCTTTCTTGTCCAATAGGAAAATGGAGGGTGGCATTTTTGCTTTGCCTTCAGCTTTAGGTCTGGAGCAATACTGCACCCATGTTGCATGAGGTGAGAGAAGGCTGTGCAGAAAACATGTTAGTGGCAGAAGAGCTGCACCAAAGTGGTCAATAGGATGTTTTCAGCGTCCTCATCTGCATCAGATTTAGGTATAATGAGAACAAGGTATCTGACCCTAGCTTGGATTTAGCTCGAATGAAGTCAGGATTCAAAAAAATAAAAAGCTCCTTCTCCCTCCTGTTAAGTTTCAGCTATAGCACAATTCAAAACACACTGTTTGTTATTCATACTGTGGTGCAGAGGGTTAGGATTTAGCCACATTTTCAATAGCTGAAGTCAAGGTTTAAATAGCACTAAAACTTTTCTCCAGGGTAATGCAATTACTGGGCAGACAGACACTTCAAATTAAAGGAATATTTAATGTTGTATTGTTGACATGGACAGCTAAGAAAAGCAAAATATCAATATTACCATCATTTTTGATGTAAGTTGTAGATCAATGAAGTTAAAGAATTCAGTTTTACTAGTGAAAAAGACATATTTTCACTAATACAACTGGATTTTTTTTTGTTTTCAGAATTCCTTATGCAGAAGAAAAATGTGATTTTAATACGTCGCTATTGCAACAGTAGCAATTCTTGTGGCACTGTTAATATGCCATGCCAAGGCTCTAGCTTTGATTTCAGCCCATTGTGTTTAATCTCTAAAGACAGGACTCTTTTCTGAGTGGAAATGGAGTATCTCTGTTATACCATAACCACACAAGAAATAAAAGCTTTTTAGCTCAGGAGGGAAGGCTGGAACCTGATAACAACACTGCTGAGAAGCTGTGCTTAACTTTTTTCTGGTGCATGCAGCATTCTTTAAACTTTATCCGTAGCCTTCAAGCCAAAGTAAAACTTTACTCCTTTTAGAAAATACTAAGGGTTCCTGGTCTGGTAGCAGTAATCTTGAAATGCTTAGTCTGTTGTTTCATTCTAGTGCACAACAAGAGGACCATTTGAAAGTATGGTAAAGTGTTTGTGTAAAGATTATTAAGTGGCAAGCAAAATATCCCTCAGACTTTATAAAGACTGCAGAAAAACCCGGAGCAAAGGTCTAAAGTTCAGTCCTTAAAACTTGCAAGCCCCGGGCGTGCTGTTCAGGGCGGCAGCGCTGCTGCCACAGAGAGCTCTTAAACGCCATTTTCCACACCAGCCGAGTGTGTGCTGTACAGTTAGTTCCTCCTCGCTTCTGGCAGCCGGCCACTTGTCTTCCTGATTTTGATCAATTTACAATGTGAAGAGAAGGTTTAGTAACTGGAAGAGTTTGTTTACTAACTGTTGTGTTCCTCATCAATAAAGCGTCCAAAGGTGGAATGAAACAACAGGGCTATGGCAGCCATGGGGGCTCCTTGAAGGGCCATGGGGGCCCTGCCATGGTGTCGCTTGGGCAGGGGCTGATGGTCCTGGGGGGGCTGAAACAGGGTCCAGGGCTGTGGGCAGGGTCAGGGGAGCCCTAGGCAGTGGGCAGGGACAGCAGGGCTTGTAGTGCCCCGGGCTATGACGAATTATGTGCTGGTGTCAGTGTGGTATGATAAGCTTTTCACAAAATAAATTATTTTCATTGTATTTTTTTGTATCTCTGACTCTGAGCTAGAAACTTGTCAGGAAACTCTCTACGTTCAGAGTCCTGTTTCATACCCGTATCTATATTTTGCTTACCTTATGATGTGGCTGATGATCATTATTTCTTTCAAGGCCTGTTCCCCGCCATTTTGAACCTGGCCAGCAATGCTCACATCTCCACCAATGCCACCTGTGGTGAGAAGGGACCGGAGATGTTCTGCAAACTGGTGGAACACGTCCCAGGACGGCCCCTGCGCAATGCCCAGTGCCGTGTCTGTGACCACCACAGTGCCAATCCCAAAGGCAAGTTTTATGTGGGGTGGTTTTTTTTTTTCTTCCTTTTTTTTGGTTTCATGGGTTTGTGTCATTCTTTTTGACCCTTCCCTGTGAATACAGGGTGTATTGAGGTCAAATACTTTCTACTTTTAGTCTCTCTACTACATGAGTGAAACTACCTTTGAACAAAGGGCTGACAGAAAGCATGAGCACCTTAAATTACCATTAAGTACCACAGAGTCCAATGGCAGCCTTTTTGTCTGGGGGCAGATTTCAGGTTTTTTTCACACTTCTTTATGATGGGAAGAAATTGTGCTCAATGTGAAATAAATGTACTTGGTCAGAGAAAATGCAGTGAGTTGTATTTTCAAGAGATGTTCAATTTTTTGCTTTAAAACAGAGCAGCACCCAATTTCCAGTGCAATTGATGGTACCAATAACTGGTGGCAAAGTCCCAGCATTCAGAACGGGAGGCAATACCACTGGGTCACCATCACCTTGGATTTAAGGCAGGTGAGTAACATTTAGGTGAGCATCATTTATTGTACATAGGATATAAGCCAATGCAATCGATTGCAGTTCTTCTGTGTTTATGTGGTAGGATATTTAGTAGTTCACCATTTAGTAGCACATAGTTAAACATGGATAGTTAAAGCGAATATGAACTGAGTTTAAACAGATGTGTTTTTAAATTGTTTTAGAGCATCTTGGAGATTTCATTCCTACCAGACTGGACTGGAAGTGACTATGTTTGTAAGCATATAGGTCACAGGTGGTTGTAATTCATGGCAGGGTAACAATTGTGTATGTGTGGATGAGAGTGTTTATGTAGGTATTCCTTCTGTCTTGGTAACCTTCCTTTGCCTGACCCTGCTGTCTTTTCCCCATCAGTCCTCCAATATTGTTTTCCTCCACCTTTGCTTTCATGAAAGTTATTATGCAAGGTTATCAAAGACTTACTTCAAGCAGCAAAGTGTTTTCAGGGCATTGTCATAAGTGCAGATTTTATATGTGAAGATGTATTTGTTTGTTTATTAACTGTAACTTTCAGTCTGTCATCTGATCATTGTACAGTTTCTTAGTAAACGAATAAATTATTTGGAGTAGGACACGGTAGAAACATTTGATGTTTATTGTCAGAAAACAGAATACAATATACTTCCAAATATGAACTCTTTTGATCTGTAGGTATTGTAACTCAGATACTGAGTTTCAGAGGAGGAGAAAAAGATAAGTGACTGGAGGATTATAGTATTCAGATCAATTATCTCACAGTAGATCTCAAGTTTAACTCCTTTGTTTAAATTTCTCAGTATTTTTGCATATGTAAACCTATTATTGCAATGTGATGGTCAGATTGAAGTGTAAAATGTCAGAAAGTTCAATTGCAGAATCTCCAGAAACCCTGAAAGCACAGACTTTCCTCAGTTGAGGGATATCCTTCAGGACTAGAAAGCACACCACACATAAAATGGGGCAAAGTTAGTGTTGCTAAAAGAAAAGCTGATTTATCGCTTTCTGTGCTTCTCTTCTGACTGATTCTGATCACCATGTTGTTGGAAGGAGTACAGTGAAGAAATGTTCTGTATTATATCTTTTGCTGTCAGTTGTTCTGAAGTTAGGGATTATATCTCTAAAACAGTCATTTCTGAACCTGGGGAGGCTGGAACTGCCTGGGCAGTTGGTTCCTCCGTTTCGGCACTTTACAGCAAAGCTTGGAGGGATTCATCATTCCTAGGCAGGAGGCTGCTAAACTATACAGAGCATTTGCTAATTTATTAGTTTGTCTGTTAGGCATGGAAGAATCAGAAGTCTCCTACCCTGCTCCAAGAAAAGACAAAATAATTTCTGAAGAAAATGTATTTTTCTTGGTTTTTTCTTGTTGTTTTGCTTTGAACAGATATATGTGTTGGCCTGCCTAAGCTGTTTGAAAATCATAGCTCAACAATCTGTTATTAATTCAGGGATGCTTCCAAACTCTGGAAGAAGCTTTGCTACTAAGAAATGTGTACTTGAGGTGTAGAGTTGGTAACAAGCTTTTGCAAGATCTCTAGACCCTGCTTTAAAGTTATTTTAAAGGTTAAACCAGAAGGTTTAACTTTGATGTTTTAAAATGAAGCATAGGTTAAACAAGCACCTAGTTTGCTCTTTAATTAGAAAGCAGAACTGTTAGGAAAATAATCACAGGGTATCTTTTGTCAGTGACAGAAGGCTTGGATATGACTTTCTGGTTGTTTGAAGAGTTGGCTTTGTGTTTGGTTTGTAAATGGACAAACAGGAAGGAAAAAGGGAGGAGGAGGGAATGCTTTAGTTTTTATCCTTCTAGAACATCTTCACTTTGGAAATAGACCAGCTGAGCTGCCCTCTAAATCTTTTATTCTCCAGCTTTAGTGCTGTTGATATTTCATCGAATACATGTCTTTGCTCTCCTGACCCATGCTCAGTTTCACTAATTCGATTTGAAAAGTTTCCCCCAAGGGGCCTTTCTTCTGTGTTTTCCTTGGAGAGTTTGAGAGAGAGAAGGCATCTAGGGCTATGCAAACTGAATGTAAATTACTGCTCTGAGAGAAAGGATTTGGTTAATAGAGATTGCTTGAAGTCAATGAGTTATTAGAGCTGACTTGGTGTGCTTACTTTAAGTGAATCAGCACAAGTAAAGAAAACACAAAAGAAAAGTGTATAAAGGACCTTAGTAACTCCTTACTTCATAAATTTGCTTGAGAATGAGTTAAAATACTCTTTTAGGACCTCTAAAAGTATTACTGAAAGTCAGTATCTGTAACTATATATGTTATAGCTTATCTTTAGCATTGGTTCTTTATTTTTTTTTTTTTTTACATTTCAAGCTTTACACGTTAAACCTGTCAAGTAACGTATTAAAGAAAATGTGTCTTTTAAGTTTTCTTGCCAGAATATAGAATATATTCACACCCTTTTGTGATGTGAAGAATGACCATCTGGTTATTATTTATGTTTTTTTCAGTAATTACCAGAAGTTGTAGCAGTAGGAGGAATGAATTGTTTCTCAGGATTGTCACCCATGTAGAGTTTAGAGATATAATCTAGCAGTCATGTTGGTGAGTGCTGGAACATAGTCTTAGCTGGCAAATATGGGGAAGATTTTCTTAGCTGGTGAAAACTGGCTCCACTCCGGTTTACCCTAGGTGAAGTTCTGGCCACAGTCTGCGTCCTGTATCCTGTATTTGGCTGCATTCATCTCTTGGCTCAAAGTTGAAGGGAGCAGAGGGTATTCTTTCATCTAATATTCTACCTTGCACTTAGTTGATTTAGTCTAAAAGCAGCTGGACTGAAGAGCAGTTTGATAGAATCTTGTTAAGAAAAGGCGGCTGGCTAATAAAATCAGTATCAAAATTGCTGTTCTGATCTTTTTCCTTTGCAGGGTCTGTGCTATTTATAACTAGCGCTAAGCATTTTGTAAGGCTAGCTAGCGGGTACATCATGATTTTTTAGATCACGTGGGTCATAACAACTAGGTGTACGTATTCTGGTGTGCCTTTCAGTCTTTCCAGGACCTAGATATATGGTAGCCTTGCCTTTCCTTTCCTTTCCTTTCCTTTCCTTTCCTTTCCTTTCCTTTCCTTTCCTTTCCTTTCCTTTCCTTTCCTTTCCTTTCCTTTCCTTTCCTTTCCTTTCCTTTCCTTTCCTTTCCTTTCCTTTCCTTTCCTTTCCTTTCCTTTCCTTTCCTTTCCTTTCCTTTCCTTTCCTTTCCCTCTCTTTCTCCCTCTCTTTCTCCCTCTCTTTCTCCCTCTCTTTCTCCCTCTCTCTTTCTTTTTCCCCTTTCAATTAAAAGTATGGCAAAGATCCAGAACTGGGGAAACAGGGGTTTAGCAATGAGGTGTAGTATTGATGTACAAGATACCAAGATTTGATTTATGACCTTGCACTTCCTACACTGGCAATTCTACAGAAACAAAATGTGCAGCAGCAGTTTTAGATAAAACCAGCATTTTTGCCTGAGTTTGACTCCTCTGGACAGCTACTTTGTGAAATTATAATGAGTTAAGATAAATGCTGATTATTATAAATGTCAGCAGTAGTGTGCTTGGGCCAGCTTTAAAATATTTCTCTGTCACACCATTAAATGAAGAATACTTTCCTCAATTTTATTACCATGCTTCAGACTTTTAAAGGTATTTAAGGGTACTTTGTATGAGGCATAGCAGAAAGGCACGACTTTGTATATCACAAAGTTCTTGAATTGTAAAGCAAGGTCAGTTGTTCTTGGAAGACCTATAGTATCAAGTTGAGAAAACATCTCCACTTCTGATTAAGTCATAGCTCATGAATATTTCATGAGTATGTATTACCACTCAGAGGCTGATGTAAGAGTAAGTTGTAGTTTTTGCTATTAAAAAGTAAAAAAAGATTGTAAATAATATAATATGATTTGTACAGAGCTTTTATCTTGAAATCAGTTGGTAAGAAGACATTTCTGTAAGGACAAATCCTTTGCTGATGTAAAAAGATATTATTCTGTTGACTTTACTGGACCAATGTTAATTTATCGTATGTGGCAAGCTTCCTTAAGAGTCTTTCGTGGCTTTGTAAAACTGATGATGCAAGATTCAGGGTGCTCATCTGTGCATTCTTGCAATACACAAGAATAGATTTTTCCTTCTATTCCAAAACAATGGTTGCACATAATGAATCAAAGCCTTAAAGAAAAGATAATTCAGGAGACTAGAAATTATACTGGATTTAGTTTATTTTGCAATTTTAATGTCACAGATTCTTCAGAGCAAAATGTCACAAGCAATTGCTGGGTCTCGCAGTCTCTAATAAGAGCCCAAAGCCATCTTTATCCCTTAAAAAGACATTTCTGTGAACAATATAGGCTGATACTCAGAATATCCCTTCATGTAGCCTTCTACTCTTTGAGAGTTTGCACAGATTAATTTTAGATTTTTTGGACAGTAAACAGTAAAATGAAATATGAGAAAAAGAGGCTTTTCTGGTAACTAGGTTTATGTATGTTGACAGCACTGAACAGAATGGATTTTGCAGTTGCCTTTAAAATGAGGAATAGTGTTGGTTGAAAGAAACATTTTCACCACAGGACTTGTCATGCTATTTTGAAAAACATACTTAGCTGTTTCTTAGATTCCCTTTCTTTACTCATCCTGAAGGAAAGATTTAGCTGAATTTGTAAAACTAGGAGCAACCAGTCTGCCAAGAGCATTGCATTCCTCCAGGCTTGTTCATTTTGCAGTCTTCTGCTTTGTATGGTTTATGTTATGCCAGTTTGATTTCAATAACGTAGTCAATAGAACACTGACAGTAATCCTGAGATCCTAAAATCATATCCTCCTTTCAGTTTTTTTCAAGATCAGGTAGAGTTTGGATTTGAATTGGGGTGTAGATTTGAAGTAGCAGTTGATACCTCTGTTCTTAATAGGTTAAACGTTTCTGAAAATTAGGAAGAAAATGCGTTGGGACTCATCTTTCCCTTAACTTTTCGCTTTTGGACCCTGGGGCTCAAGTACTCATAGATGTGAAAAGACAGAATCTTCCCTTGTCTCCATTTGTGTAAATTGAAATGTATAACTGGGATTCTTTATCCAAAAAGACTACCAGGAAAACAGTACTCGCCAGGGCATGTGTCTGTGTGGGTTGTAGAGCACTGACCATCCCCTTTGAAATGGAGACTTTTGGCTAGCATCTGCTGCGTGGCCACAGCTGGCTGAGTTTACAGTCTTGAGCAAAAAAAATATGCAAAACTTCCTGATGAATGGGGAGAAGGGTTCCTTTGTAAATGTTTCAAGAATAATGCACTGGGTGTTGCTGGATCTACGTTCAGGGAAATAAGGTCATTAAAAGGCTAAATAAAGTAGAAGTGACTTGTTATGTTGGTATTGCTGCTACGAAGAAGAGGTTCTTCAGTGCAAGTTTATTTGGCTGGTCTTTACAGTTGGGACTGAAATGCCTGTAAAATGACACTTTTAATCTATGGCTGCTTGGGAGTTGCTAACTTGCTTTGACTTGCCCTTTTTACCCTTGTAGCTCAATAAGGAAATGAGTTCTGGGAAAGCTATGCACTCAAATTAAAGTGTACAAATCATTAGGTCTTGCCACACAGCTCAAGTTTATCATGTGGCTGGTTGGTGGACACTGAATGGATGTGGAAAGTGGTAAGAAATTGCCTTCAGTGATGTTCAAACTTGAAGAATTTATAAAAGTAAAAATCTGTAAAGAAGCGCTCAAAGCATGTTGGAAAATCAACATGGAGTTCCTGGTTCAGGTCCATTTTAGGTTGCAGAGGCTGTGGGATATGAGGTCTGCAAAACCCCTACCTACTGTGACATTCCTTAAAACATCTTCATCTGCAAACACTGGGAATACCTTAATGCTTTCCTCCTAGCTTCATTCCCTTCCTTGGGAGCATTATACTTGAGAATATAACTCCTACTGATGGGTTGTCTTGTGATTTCTTGACTGCAGGAACGTTTATACAAAATCCTTTTGTTTCTGTATTTAACCTATATTATTTCTGGGAGTAACAAATTTTCGTTGTGTTGCTGATATTCATTATCCTGTGGATTTACCTATAAAGTATTTTTGGGTACCTATGGACTATGTATGTAAGTGGAAGAGAGTTGAGAGGATCCAGGGGAAAAGAAGGAAATCTTTTTCTACACTGTGCATACTTAAATGTTTATAGAACCATTCACTGATTTTTGAATGCCTCTTTTGGGTTCATAGTGTCAAATATCTTCATTCAGCTGTTGGTGAACTATAGGCATCCAGGAAAAAATCAATCTGTAGGTGTCTTGAGTACCAAACATGGTTGCTGTTTTTCTGGAGGAATGTTGACTTGAAAAGATTTAATTTATTGAATAGTGCATTGAATATGTGCAAAGTTGCTGTCAAAATTTTTATCTTTCAATGGCTTTTCCCTTCACTTCCCCCTCACCAAGAAACTAGGTATTTAAAGTAAATTTAACTTGCATACTCTCATGAATATCTTTTATTTCTGCAGCAATGGCTGCATTTAGTTTGTGATGAAGGGTAGCTCATTGTTACTAGTTGGAACTGGATTTAAAACTAGCTACATCAGCTGCTGACTATAATGAGTCTTGAAAAATCTCAGTGTAATCAAAAGTAGATCATTTGTGGTTCAGCCGACTGTGTAATAAGTAGGGAAGTAGTTTAGTTGATGACAGCGAGCAGAGAGGAAAAAAAAATTGAATAAAAGACACATAAGAGTTTTTGAGGAAAATTTTCTACCATGGCATTGGAAAAAAATTGGGGTTCCAGTCTTGCATCTTTTATGCATTTGAGAGAGATGGTTGACTTCAAAGGAACTTGGAGATAAATAGCAGTTCCTAAGCTCAGTGAATAAAACTTCCCTAGTTTTAATAGTTTTCTGCAGTTCTCTTCTGTGATGGAAAAAATACCCATACAAGTGACTCTTGTCATATACAAATGTCTTCAGGTTAGGGGTACTGAAATGATGATACCCCAGATTCTGCCTGTGCATAACCCAGTGTGAAACAGGAATATAACTCAACTACTGGTAACTGACTCAATGAAATACAGGTTGTATGTAGGGAATGCAGTTGCTTGATTTGGGAGTCTGCCCAAATTCTGTTTTTTTCCCTTTAGAAGCATGTATTTTAGCTTTTTTTTTTCAGTTGGAACTTGTTGGCATGATGCAAATTTGATTTAAAAGGGGCTTTTCTCTTTATGGAAGCTGGATTATAATTCTTGGTATTCACTTAACTTTGATCAAATTTGAACAACAGAGGATTCACAGACCCCAGAGAAATTTTCTTTCTAAGACTGTAACGCTGTGACTAAACAGTGAGCTGACTTCTCTTTTTGTTTACTTCTGCATGCATTGCTGAAATGTCATATAAGTCAGAAGACAAAATCCTCAGTTTGTGTAAATTTTTTTATATTTATTGAAACAGCTGGAAATGTTCCCTTTGTATGTGCTTGATGTCTCAAAGGATAAAACTAGAGTGCCTGAAAAGAAAATCAGATCAAGTGAATATCATGTTTTAAGTTACATCTGATTTAAATCAAAACTGAGATTGACTTTTTTTAAGGTATTAAATCTAGTAAGTCATTTGAAGATAAATATCACCAATTTTTTTTTTTCCTTCTCATGTCTGCAAGATCTTCTAAGCAAAGCTCTGTTCACTTACAGAATGTTTTGTTTCAAAGGTAGTTTCCTGAATGGCACACACGATGCAGTTACTATGTATCTCTGTGTGTTCATTTCCCCATTTGACAAATCAAAATCTGCTTTTATGTGGCAAGTGCTATTCTTGCTCTGGCTTTAATCTGTATTAAAAAAAAAAAGAAAAAAAAAATAAATTAAAATGTCTGAAAGAACTGATTGTGGCCAAATTGGATCTCAACACAGTATTAATACTGTACATGCAGACAGGAATTGTGATGATTATACCAGCGGACCAGGCAGTTTGCTGAAGTGAGAATATATACCTCTGAGATGGTTGAGTAATACGGCATTTTTCTTTCATGTAAATGTGGCTTGATACTATAGTGCATGTTAAACATTAAACTCCTATACAGAAGTCTTATCAATTTACAAAGAGAGCCTTTTTAAGTGAGGTGATGTAGTAGGTATTAGGTAAGGAAGAAGATAGTAGCTTTGCAGTAAGTGCACTTCAGTGTTTAGTGGCTAATGCTGTAGCTGGTTGGGGGCCCATGCAGCTTTTCTAGCTGCCCTGACAAGGACATTTAAAAAGAGATATAAACTTAATTACTGCCCTGCCTACTCACAGAAATGCTGTTGTGTGGATGGGGATTTTGCTTTAGACCCAGGATTTTTTAAAAAAATAATAGTGGAGATACCTGTGTAGCTTAGAGAACACATGTCTTAAAAGAGCTACTGTTCTTAAATAAGGTTATTGTGCTTATATTTGTCATATTCATCTTATTCGTCTCTGTTTTCAGCAGTGTAAATAGTCTTCTGCTTAAATAATTTTAACACAGAATGAAAATGGAGTGCACAAAGTTTTTAATACAGGGTGTAAAAAGCTTATCAGAAATGCTGTTACTGAGAAGGTTAAACTCCCAGCTAAAATGTGAAACGAGATGTTTGGGCTGCAGCTGTTTTGAAAAAAAAAAAACAACACCCTACAAAACAAACCAAAACTAACCTACTTTTTTAAAACCAGTGGTTTTGCTGAACTTCAGTGGTTCAGCAAAGCTAAATAGCATGTCCCATAGAAAAAATGTTATACCCAAGTAATCCTGAAATGTACAGTGTAGATATAGATTTCAGCTATTACATTAACACTGAATACATTTAGTCTTTTTCAGTTACATAAACAAATGCTTTGTTTTAATGTTCCGAGTTTTGACAAAAAAAGATACATATTTGTCTTAGTAAAAGATTAGACTGGCCTTCTGTCAAAAGTTTGTGCAAAAATTTTATCCAGAGGCACTGTACAAAATTTTACCTTCTCCCCAGGCAAACCATATACTGCTTTTAAAATTTGAATTTAGTACCCAAATTGGCTTCTAGTGGTCTTTTACAGCATAATGAAGTGTTAAAATTTTCTTCTTGCATTGTTTTTTAGGTCTTTCAAGTTGCATATGTCATCATCAAAGCTGCTAATGCTCCACGACCTGGAAACTGGATTTTGGAACGCTCCATAGATGGCACAGAGTTCAGACCATGGCAGTACTATGCAATTAGTGATACTGAATGTTTAACTCGTTATAATATTACGCCAAGAATTGGGCCGCCAACTTACAAGAGAGATGATGAAGTGATCTGCACCTCCTATTATTCCAGACTAGTTCCCCTGGAGCATGGAGAGGTATGTTTGCGTTTGCATTTGTGGTTTGTGAGTAGAAACATGGACTGATGGCAATCTGAAAACATTTGGATTACAGTTACAGAGTTCTTCACCCCCAGCACTACTAGATTATCTGTTATTCTTCTTTAATGATACTATCTTTACATCATGTACCAGTATAGCAAACTTTTAAACGTGGGGATGAAACATATCTTTGGCTCTATGTATTCCTGTTACTAAATTCTTTGTTCTCTCTCTCTCTCCCCACATAATTTGATGATAGCTATTAGCTGTGAATTATTAGTTGCTTTATCCTGAAAGACTACAACAGAGGCTCTACGTTTTGCCAGGTTTTTCATTTAATAAAGAACCCCCCCTGTGTTAGGAACACCTGGTTGTGTGAGATAAAGCTGCAAACACTGTTGAAGTGCTCGGCACAGCTGGAACTCCTAAACAAGCCTTGGCATTGTTTCAGGGATGTAGCATAATTGAAAGAGCTATGAGTTGTGCAGCCTCACTGTTGATTGTTCTTTCTTTTAACAAACTCTATTTATGGTACTTGTGTAATTTATTACATGGAGGCAGCCACATAATGAAATGATACATTAAAACCAGCGGTTATTCCATTGTGAATGCTATAATGTAAGAGCGTGATAATAAATGCAGCATTAGCCCATGGAGAATGCTAGTAACTCTTAGCTTAATAGAAGCCAATATGTTTTTATTTCTTGGTTAAAAAAAGACTGGAGTCTATGCAGCTAAGGACTAAAGTGTGTCAAATTTTCACATAAACTTAAAACTTTGTTTCAGCAAGAAAAAAACCAATTAAATACAGTAACATGAAGTCCCATTCACTTTAATCAAATGTTTATTGCAGTGATGTAAGCACATGCCCCACTGATCAGATGGAACAGACAGAAAAACTTAACCTGGCTCTCCATGCAATTAACCAAAAAAACCTTAGGTTGACTCTGTACGAACAGTGCCTCTTGTTATGTGTGTCTGATATGCCATACAACTCCAAACCCAGGAATAGATTCGCTTTAGTGACCTTTTTTTCTGATTTATTTTTCCTGATGTACACAGAATTGGGTGACGCTATCCAGAACATGGCTTTTTTTCTAAGTGCAGTAACATAAAGGTATAAAAAATGACACAATTAAATTGCTGTGTACTACATAGAATCATAGAATAATTTACGTTGGAAAAGACCTTTAAGATCATTGAGTCCAACCATTAACTTAGCACTGCCAAATTCACCACTAAACCATGTTCCTAAGCAGCACATCTATGCATGTTTTAAATACCTCCAGGGGTGGTGACTCAACCACTTCCCTGGGCAGCCTGTTCCAAGGCTTGACAACCCTTTTTCCCTAACATCCAATATAAACCTCCCCTGGTGCAACTGGAGGGCATTTCCTCTAATCCTATC